GATCACCCTGATCCCCGGTTTCTGACAGCAAGCTCCTCCTAAAGCCTAACATTGAAAAATGCTGCAGTGGCCGAAGTCGCAGTCTCCAGAGCGTCACCACCCCGAACTACTGACGTTAGGGTATTAGGAAGGCTTCAGACCATGTGTGTTCCCACCTGCTGTAACAGTACTGAATGTTAGATAGAGGAATATAACTTACACTCTCAAAATTGCCCTGTCTACACTGAAAATTGAAAACTGAAAACTCTTCATGTCATGGTATGCAGTGGGCACCATTTTCCATTTTCAGTGCTATTTAATTTTATTTGTCTGTTTTTATGCTCTCCAATTCTAACCTGGTAAGAGTAAGACTACAATTTATTAATTTGTCCTTAAATTTCTTTAAAATTATTTCATGACAAAGCTCTCAGAATCCACTGCTCTGATGTTCCTCTTATGCTTTACTTCTTAAGGATTATTCTTTCGCAAGATGTTCTGCTTTTCACACATGCAGTCTCCCCTGTGACATCCTCTGGCTATAACACCAGTTCAGGACATGCTCTGCTGCCTTGTTCAGCAACCGTCCATCCTGGCCGCAGCTCTAAACGTCTGTAAATGTTGTTGGGCTCCAGGTTATGACTGAGGTCACTGAATAGTGGTTTTGTGTTCCCCACTCAAAAATTTTCCTTTGTTCTCCTGCACTATTGTACACAGAACCCCAAACCACCGGCCAGCTCTCGGGTAACCACCAGAGCAAATAATCTCCGAAATGACCCGATGGTAGTGATGGTACTGAAGGCAGGAAAGCGATTTGAATATGAGTCACCAGAAAAAGAGACCAAAAAAATGTTTCATGCTACAGTGGCTACTGAGAAAAAGTTCTTCCATGTGAAGGTTTTAAACGACAACTTGAGGAAAACATTCATCAGAAATAGAATCATTACTATATCTAATTATTTGGAATATAAACATCTCCTAGAAGTAAATGAAGCCTCTACGGTATCTGAAGCTGGTCGTGATGTAAAGATTGAGGTTCCAGACAACATCAAAAAAAGTGCAAAGGAAACCCTGAAGATTGATATTATTAAAGTGCAAGCTTCTGGAACTATTGTATATGGGTCATTTATGCTACATAAGGTAAGTCCTCAAAATTCTTGTGTTTCATTTCTCCACAAATACCTGAAATAAGAAGCTTTTTGTGGTGCTAAATGCAGTTTTGCCCATTCACTGAACATTAGAACCCAGGACTCACTCAAGGCTAATCATAAGTGGGTAAAGTCTTTTCTCAGGATAAGACTAGGAATTAGGGAACCTATTAATATTCTCCTTCCCGTGTTTTCCTTTCCAGAATATTACCCTACACTTTTTAGGAAAATGTTCACTGATAAGATTTCATCAGCTATGACTATGTATTATTCTAAGCCACAATGATTAAGGACAGTGTAGGGTCTAGATCCATATACATATTGTACTACATTTATTTTTTATTATTACTTCAACTGTAGCAATAATCATTCTATTTTCATTTTGGGTGAAGTATTGCCCTTTGTGGTTTGAGTTCTGGTTTTTACAGTCAGAGCAAGTAATGAATCGCCTGATTATGCCAGAAAAACAAAGGCAGTCAACAGGATGATGTTCTTCTAACCAAATGAAATTCATTCATCGAAAAGGTTTTGAACAACCGAGAAGGATGAATTTAGGTGATACTTAGAAAGTCAGGTAATATAAACTCATCATTTAGATATGTCAGTTAAAAAAAAGAGCACAGAGTGGTTTTACTGATATGCCAGGGTCCAAATACATGACACTAGTTGTCATAGGACGTGCAAACCCAAGGAAACATCTATACCCTGCTATTGATTCATGTAATTTCTCATATGATCGACAGTTCACAACACCGTATATTTGTTTTCCAGCAAAACCCCTTATTTTCCCTGCGTTATTCTCTGCACACACTCTTAATGTGGATATTGTTATCAACACAATTCTAGAAATGAAGAGTAATAGCCTTGGTGAGCAAGAAAGTAGAAAGTTTAAGCTCAAGGACCTGAGCTCAGGAGGGAGAGAAAGACTCAGTAAATGGAGAAGGTAGAAAAAGTAATTAGGGCGTTACTAGAAGTGTGCTTTTTATTACAGGTCTCTCAAACCCTACTTGTAGCACATGACCATCCTTTGTACATAGGGGTAGAGGACAAAAAAGTATACCAAGGATTTCAGATTCCTCTGGATAAAGGTGCTTTGGGAATCATAGCTGTCCTAGAGATGAAAGCAGTAGAAATTAAGAGGATAACCCATCGTTCTAGAGCTGACAGAGAAATGCCTAGAACATGTAAGACTTAAAAAGGCTCATAAGAAAGAGCTCATTGAGAAATCCTGCCCTAAGGCTTATGTATGTCTGTACCTTACTAACACTTGCTGTCCTACAACTTGTTTTAACCTGTCACAAGGGTCTTTTTATTCTGTGTGGTAGTTTTTAGGTATGTTCTCAGGAATTAAATATTAATTTTCTGTTGCAGAAAACATTAAAGAACAACTACACAATCTATGAAATTCAGGATAATACAGGAAACATGGAAGTAGAGGGGAAAGGAAACTGTCATGATATTCCCTGTGAAGAAGGAGATAAACTTCAACTCTTCTGCTTTCAACTGAGAAAAAAGAACCAGACACCAAAACTGATTTCTGAAACA